CAGAACTCTGAGGAAATACGCAGTAGTGGAGAACTTCATTAAGAACTGCTGCAGGACGAGGTCTGAGTCACAAATGTCAGATTGAATGTGAAGTTTTAGGCATGCCTTACTCAGTTAATTTCACGTATGTTTTTCTTTTTATATAAGCACAGAATGATATAAAAAATTTGTCTCATTATATTACATCAATTCTACACTATTTTTTTCATATTTTAACGCCTCAAGTCAGGGTGTGTCACACAATTAAGCCATGTTTTTAGGGGTTTATAAAATGGTGAGTCTTACATTTGATGGAGTCTCAGATTTGTGAAATAAAATGCCAAAAGAGCTCTTTATATACATGTAAACAATTCTAAATAGAATTTTTAAAAAGCATTTTGTCATAATGTAATTGGTAGCATTTTTTTCTCTTAATGTTACATAAAATGACACATTTTATAATTAAGGCCATTTTAGAGTCAATGTCATAGAGCAGTGCCTCACAGAATTGTGAGAATTCAAATAACAGTTGTAATGTGCTTAGAATGGTTCCTAGCGTATGCTAAGTTTTTAGCTATTAATATTATCCTATCAGTCAGGGGATTTGCTATAGATTGAGAGATAATGATCTATAATAAAGCCTTAAATTTTTTTTTTCCAACTTATGAGAGCTTCCCTACTCCTCCCACCTTCTCTCACCCAAACTTTACTGAGGGTTCACTTTATGCCAGAAACTGCTGGGTACTGTGATGATACAGGTATCAACCACAGATGTGGCCTTCAAGACCAGTTAAACACAGAATTTTACCAATAATTATACAGACAGGAAGAAAGATATTGCCAGGAACAGAGAGGAATTATAAGAAGGAAAATATCCAAGCTCCATTGTTTATCATTTGTTTGACCTCAGAATAAGCTTTAACCACCTTTATGTGCTTTGGTTTTCTCATCTGTAAAATGGATTTATAGTAAACCCCATCAATAACACTGTCTTCAATAACTCGAATCCGGTCCATTCCCCACCTAGCCCCTTCCCTGCTCACAACTGCATGTGGGCTCAGGTTCTTAACTCTTGGTGAAGGTGAAGAATATGAAAGGGAAGGTGAAGCCAGGCAAGGAAATGGCAGGCTTTCTCAGGAAGTAGGGAGGCAGAAGAAGGTGGGGTACTCTTAGATAAGGTTGAAGAAATACGCATTGACTACCTGGGAGATTCCTGGACTCATTGTACAAATCAGACAGAGGACTAACTCAGAATTGTCCCCACTGACATTTTAACCTTAGTGGACATCTGCCACCACGTGATGCCCAACTACAGGACAGATTTGGGACCTACAGTTAGACTAGGACGTCCTGGAAAGCTGGCTGTGCAGGCTACCCCAGGCAACCCATCCTGTTACTGAAGTTTCGGTACTTATTGCAGGACTTTACTGTTGCATCTATTTCACTGGATTGTGGTGAGAAATCTGAAATGGGCTGACGTAAAAGTGCTTGGAAGAAATAGCGCTTGGTATTTAGAAAGCTATTAATGGATGTTAGTTATTACTCTTATTATCAGTGTGATATTAAACACATTTAACAACCCAGAGTGTCATTAGCATCGGCCAATCAGGAGACACATACAGACACATATGACTTCTACATGGGAGGATCCCAGCAATTACTGCTCAAGCTGTCTCTCAAAGGATACGCTCATGTGGAGATAATGAAAGAGGAGAAGGCACCGCGGGGGAAAAAGACTAAACTTTATGTTGTTTTGTGACTGAAGCAAAGAGTGAAAATAAAAGAAAAAAATGCTGTAAAATTAGGTTAGGGCCAAGTCATGGAGGGAAAGGGTTTTACTACTTTATTCAGCAAAAAAAGAAAACTGGTAATAGCTGAGTTGTGTCGGAGCTGATCAAAGGCTAAAAGGGATGCATTTGGTTATGAAGTTCAAAGTGCGTGCAGTCCACTCTACTCCAATTTAGAAACTGTTTACATTATAGTTCATTTTAAAGAATACAGACATACATGCAGAGGGTGCCAAAAAAATGTACACACATTTTAAGAAAAGAAAAAACTGTATTAAAATTGTAGTACTCAATATATACCGATAACAAAAGATGAATACAAGTCATGTGTATACATTTTTTTGGCATCTCCAGTATTCTAGATAACTTCCATTGACCGAAATTGAAAGAAAATACTTCGTAATGAAGTACAGATCCCCAAAGGTTTATTTAAGGGCCTATTTTTACTTATGTTGTCTTTATTTTTCGAAGCATTTTCCCCTACCATGATTCTAATTACAAAATCAATATTTCTCTAATGTTGATGAAACTGGAAATTTCCAAATGGTACTGTGTGCCTCTGATCAAACCAGTAGCGACACAGTGTCAAACCCAAATGGAAAGCGTTTTTAAAAAGCCTGTAATGGGGGCCGGCTGAGTGGCACGATGGTTAAGAACTGGCTTGGGATGCCAGAGGGCCCCGGTTCGGATCCCACATATGAGGGCCAGTGACACTGCCCTCTACAGCTAAGATGCTGAACAACAGCTCAACCTGGAGCTGGGCTGCTGTTAGTTGCCAGTGACGGCGTAGGCTGCAGCCCCTGTGGCAGTGGGTTGCCATGGGCTACCATGTGTAGCCAGCAGCCAGCGGGAGCGGTGAGCAGCCGTCCAGAAGCCGGCGACTGATCTGCCTCGCCTGGGAGGAGCGCAATGATGGTGCCAACTTGGGCCAGTCAAGCAACGTCCTCCACAACTAGACTGAAGAACAAAACGACAGCAACTAAGCTGTCCCATCCCCCCAATTCCCCAATAAAAATCTTAAAAAAAAAAGCCTGTAACGGCAATTCAAAGCAGTAATGGCATCAAGAAGAAATTAGCCAGTGAGGGTCTGTAGGTTAATTTTGAATTTGCCCTTTATTTCAAATCAGAAACCTCCTGCTACTCAAATTCAAATAGGGTGCAGTGGACATTTGTTATTTTTGTGTTCTCAGTAACCACCTTTCCTCTTCTGCTCCCTACACATTCCTTTTTCTGGTAATCTCCCCTTCCTTTGGAGGAATTCCTCTCCTGATCCAATCTGGGCAAAATCAAAGTTCTTCCCCCAAATTTTACATACCTTGCTGCCATGCTTTGGTTATGATGATATAAGCTGAAACTTATGGCTATCATCTACCATCCTCATCTCAATGTCTCCCACCCCAAAGAGGGAGTCTTCTGCCTAGATAAGAAAACCAATCCAGGACAAAAAAATCAGAGGTAAGTATGGAAGATGGAAAAATGGCTTCTTTGGGTGTTTGGACCCAGTCATGTGTGGACTTCCCTGCATACTAGCCAATAAATTGCCCTTTGGGCTGAAACTAATTTGAATTGAGTTTCTGTCACTTGGAACTGAGGGACAACTGGTTACTAATCAAAAGTGTACAATATCTACCTGAAAATAAATTTAACACATTTTAATACAATAGTGTAACATTAAATAAAAGCAGACTAGGTATCTTTGCTTAAAATGTAATGACTAATATGGAATCAGGTAGAACACACTGTATATGTCAACCAAATTAAACAAAATATATAAAGGAAATTGTTGACATTATAATTATGTGTTGAACGTTTTACTCTACTTCGTGAAACTTGAATCCCACCACTTGCTACAGAGAAACAAATTGGCTCAACCAAATTTTGGAATCTTAAATATCTTCACATTTAAATTATATAGTTAAATTTAAATTATATTTAAGTTATTTTGAAATTATAGTAACTCTTTAATTTATATTTATAATTTGAACAGGTGCAAGCTTTGTTTACTGTAATTTATGGCTATTAATCCCATATGTAATAATTAGCAATTATAAAAGGCCTACCTTCTCTTTGAAATCATTGTTTAAAAAATAAAGAAGGCCAGGTGGAGCTTTTCTCCTTTTAAAATGTGAGTCATGAACAAAATGCAGGATGTTGCACTTAACATGGGTCAAGGAATTTGCTTATTCATCAGAATTTGTCAAGAATCCAAAATGGAGAAGGTCTCTCAAAAAAAGAAATTGGGTCTTAATACTACAAATTTCTTGGGATATCAGTGAATTTTCACCCCCTCTAAGCAGTTGACATGGTTATTCACTAAAACACATGTTTATTGTAAATCCTGTGGGAATATATGTGCATATTAATCAAATGAGCTGACAGTTACATGTAAGGGAACGCTGCTAGTGAAATTCTTTTCTAAGGAATACCCTACAATTGAAAAGTCTAACAGAATTCTAGACAACAGAGAAGGCAAAGATGCGTTCGATCACGCAGATGTTTTTTCTTTCTTTTTTCTTCTGGGCAGGGGACAAAGCACAGGATAAATCCTTTGGTTTGTGTCCAGTTTTCAATATAAATTCTACAAAGGATGGAACTCAGCGCTTTTCTTGGAAATGAGACTACATCATAATAGATTTCACTGTCAGGAAATTGCTCTCCACCCTGACATTCAGATCACATGTCCTTATGTGTACTTTATCCCACTTTCCCAGTAACAATTCTATTCATCTATTCACACTTTGACTCAATTCATCCTATTTCTTGTCTGTTTCAAGAAGACTAATTTCCCTTTTAAATTAAATATGAATTCCTTAAAATCCGATTTAGTGTCTCCCCCGTAATATTGTGAAAAACATAATTCTACACGTTTTACTGTATAAAGAAGATTCCTGAAATTGGTTTAGAAAGTATTTATATTTCTCAAATCACAAGGCCTTACGTCCTATAAATCCCATTTCCACTATCACTTTTATACCAAGGGTCTTTGTGGCATTATCGTCTTTGGATTCTCTTCTCCGATTTCTACCCCAAGTTATATATACTTGAGTTCTACAAGCTTGTCCTAGGCTCATCGTCTCATTATCTTTTCATATTTTATAATCTTTCCAAGTCCCTTTAATTAATGCCTCTGGTTTCCTTTTAGGCTAAAACTTATTCCAGTTGTAAACTAAAAATGAATTTCACTAATGTCCAAGTTTATCTTTGTTTTCTTAACCATTAAGTACACAGATGCAATACAGATGTAATAATCTTTTACTCTTATAGTCATGTTGCAATTTCATAACTGTATAAATTCCAATAAAACTAGGAAAATTTCATTTCAATATGTGAGATCACAATGTATAGAGCTGCCATAAGGTATAAATTAAGCCAGGTATATACAGAAATACACATATACATTCCAATAACACTGAAGAGTTCCAAGTGTTTTTTTCTTTAGTTATTGCTAGATGATTCAAAACACAGCATAAAACCGGTCATCACAAGACCCCTGTGTGGCAGGGACAAGATGGAGTGGAAATGGGATGAAAGGCACAGAGTTCATAGTAAGACACAGCTCACCGTGTGAACAAGTACAGCGAAACTGGGGAGCACTGAGGGTTCAAACAACAATGTGGAGCCGCTGGTTTTATGAACTGAATGTTGAAATGGCAGTTAATAGCATTTATTCAGCCTTTCCACAGGACATTGTACTGGTCTTACCTAAGTATAAAAGACCCATTCAGTCGTCTCAAGACAAGAATGGGCAACTGATGGCTAGATGTGTCCACAGCCTTTCTGTTTAATGAGGTCCCACTAAAGAGAATGCCAACTTTGTGGCCGGCACAGGTGATCCCTGGGTTTGGTGTTGCATCAAACTAACAAACAGAAAAGTTTTCAGCCTACAGAACGCAGCAGGGCCAAATTAAAATAAGCATTATGTCAATTAGGTGCAAAAAAAGGGGTTGTTAATAGGAATAAGGGCCTTGCAACTCAATTCGAGAGGCTAGAAAACACGTTTTTGAAAAAAAAAAATTAGATTGTTTAATTACTTTTCAGAGAAACAAAAATTCCAACCACCCACCGACAATACCCCAATCATCCAACAGCTACTCAACGCATAGTCCTCTGCAACTGGCTCGGAATTTTCTTCCTCCAGAAGTGCTCAATTTTCATTGCCAATGTTCTTGGTAGATTCACTTTTTACTGAAGAAAAAAAAAAGAAAAAAAAAAAAAGTAAACATGCAGTCAAGTGTTTATACTGTTTCTGTTTAGCCTGTTCTGTTTTTCCCTCTTCTCTCCTCCCTTGAGATGCATACCAACAGCACTGCTCATGGGGACAGACAAACCATGTCATGTCTCAGGCAGCCGGGATATACAATTCTGGCCACAATAAATAGAGAGATGATGTCTAAAAGTGGCAATTATATTTTGTGAGGTCACATCCTTCCTGATTCTGTGGAAGACTCAAGAATGGTCAGCTCACAGTGTGGTTATGAGCCCATATAAGTACCACAGAATAGATCACTATTATCACATTGGGTAGCCAAGTGTGGTTGAAATAAATTTTTCCATGATTTTTTTTAAACTTAAAATTGAGGGTCAGTATACGTTGAGTGAATGTGGGCTGACAGAAGGTTAGCTAATCGCCATCTCCTTCCTCTCAGCCAAAAGAAGACCCAGAGCAGAAACGGCATTCCTGTAAAGAGCTGTCTTGACGAGAGTTAGCAAGTCTATTGTTACTCACTAAACGGAGAGTTCCTGGAGGACAGACACTGGGCCTTTCCTCCCTACATCTATCCCCCCACTATACCACGTCTGCTGAATCAATGTAAATGCAAGTCACTCCATCTTTTAGTGATCTTTTTTAATCTGCAAAATGGGAACCAGAGTGACTGCTCTATTTATTTCATTGTACAATGAAGCTAAAAGGAAATAATATATAAAAACCTAAGAAAATTAAGGTTTAAATACAGATGGTTTTGCTTGAGGCTTAGAACCATCTATCTCCACCGTGCAGACAAGAAAAACAAGGCTCAGAGAGGCAGAGTGAATGCTAGAGAGCTGGTGCTAGAACCAAAAACCTGGCTCTTGCCTCATATTCCCATTGCCAAGTTCCGTAGGGTTTGCCGATGGTACCTAGATTTAAGATTGTACCAGCAATCAAACCGGTGTTTACTGAGTACTTTGAATGAGTGAGGCCTTGAAATAGCTTCCATCCAAGATATGTGCCAATCCTTGTGGAATTTTATAAACCCTAGCAGAGTCCTTCAAGCGTCTCCATGATACAAGTTAGTTGTTTTTCCCTCTGGCTTTTTCTGCACTTTATGCAAACCCTGTAATAGTAGCTACTGCACGGTGAAGTTTACATTTGTGTTCCTGTGCCTGAGATCCATCCCCATACTCCACTCTACTACCTCACACACACAGACACACACACTGAAAGAGAAAGGAAGAAAAAGAGGAGTAAGGAGGAATAAGAGGAAGAAAGACGGAGGGAGAATAGATGAAAAGATTCACTGGCCCAGCAACAAACTGATGTATGAGTAGCTACTATGCCAGGTGTTTTCACTAATTCAAGCAATCAATTTTGGGTTGGATTCCTTCTTAAAGGAAGAGACATTTTCTAATTTTGAGTTATCCTAGATCAACAGAGCAATCTATTTTGCTAGTATTTTTAAATTAATGGGGCTTTGTACTATTTGGGGAAGGCTTTTCCCCTTCTTTGCTTACTGAAGTTGTCCCTGTTTGCTTCTTTTCATAGGGCTCCATTCTTTTTTCCTTAGACTGAAATGCAGCATGCTTTTATCAAGTCATTTAATTGACTAGTTAATTTTGGCAAACAATAACCTGTGAAGCCAATAAGGCCACTTTGAACACTTTGCACTGGATTGATACATGCAAAGACGGGTATCAGCACTCTTCGTCTCCAATCTAGTGGGCCACCTTAACTGTTTAACCTCTTACAGTCAACCTTTGGCATTCCTCAAAAAGCAAACCAACAAACAAAACTTGCCTACTGCCCATCAATATAGGTAGACTTTCGAAAAAATAAATTATGGCAATCTACAATCATAGCAAACATTATAACAACCATCAACTGTGAAAACTATTGAATCCCGGCCCAGAAACACATTTCCCCAAACTAGAAGAGAGACACCTTGTGCTATGAACACAAGATTAAAATCCAACTTTTTGGCTCTGCAGAGAGAAAGAATTTCAAGGCTTTCCAAAGAAAATGCCCTGTTCTTATATAAGCCTCCTCCTGCATTAAGGGACCACCCTGCAGAATATCCAATGCTGTGAGAAGGTACAAACCTCACCCCTGCAAAAAAACCTTGAAGCGCTCACACAAATAAGTGCATGTGTAGGAAGACCTGGCATTATTTTTGAGGTATGTGTATTTATGATGTGACAACACTGGTATGGTCCTTAAAATCCTGCCAGACCCTCGTTAGCTCTTTGCTACAGCAGCTCTAAATGATCCTCCATGCTGAAAGCACAAGTCACTTGTGCTTCCTGTAAATATACCCGACATCATATACCCACCAAAAAATAGCAAATTTTACTTAATAAGGTTCCAAGTGCACTACAAAAGTAGCCTTTTCTTTTTGCTTCATTACAGGAAGCCTTACTTCAATGTGCATTCCTAAACAAGGTGAAAGAGGAGCTGTGTGTGCTGTGTTTATTTACACAGACAATGTTTGCCCTGGCTAGTAATCCACATTACTAAACAACTTTCCCTGAAACCAACATTTAGAGAGAGAGCTAGGTGAATTATATTAAGGAAAAAGTCAGGTTTTACACAGCTTTAAAAAAAGTGAAACTGGTCATTTAAAACTAAAATTTCTAATGTAATTTGAGAAAATAAAGTTGGATAGTCTCTCAAATTGTGAAGAATATAAAGTCAAGAATCAATCTCAAGATTTAGAAACCCATAATTGATTATTAGAAACTTCATGTTTGCTAATTAAATATCTAGTTTCAAATTGTGGCACTGACAAAATTTTGGCCACTTGGAAAAAAAACTTTCTATTAACTTTTGCCAAGAAGAAAGATATTATGTAGATGTATAGAGAATATTATAGAGACTATCCTACAACAAAGGTTACTGCCTGTTACAGTCTATGATGCTAGCATAACAATAAAACCTGAACCACATATTTCAAATAATATTTTCTTAAAAAATAGAGTTAAATCCAATCCAAGGAATTTTATGGTCCTCTGGAGTTTGTTACAATGAAACTTGACCTGTACCTATAATTCTTAGCTGAAAGTGGTATCTAATGGTTTTGGCTTAAGTAAGGTAAGTAACCTCTCTCCCTTTTTAAAAGTAATTTCTGGATTTCATTCAGCCTCTAGAATCTGCATTCAGAAACACAATTAGCTTACTTCAATCAGTAGTTGCAAATATGGTAAGTCATTTTATACACTAAACTTTCACACACACCACTTCCAGTTCTAATACTTCCTCCCAACTCCACTACTCACCAAAGAGGGAAAAGTATCTATTTTTAAAGAACCACTAAAATGCCAAGGAATATGGCTAAGGAAACAAAATCCAAGAAAATAAAAACAGTGGGTTTAAAAATAAAAGGAGATAAAGGGTCAAGGCAATTACGCACGACCCTTATGGCACATTATTCTAAATGCAGTCTAAATTTTAAACATAATGTTCCTTGCAACATTTCCCTTTCTATAAGGTAAGATCCTAAAAACGTTTGTAATCCCTCAATTTAGGAGCCTCTAAAGTTCTAACTCGGAAGTAAATTTATCTGATTATGACAGACAGTTGTTTAAAGACCATTAGCTTAAAATAAGACAAACACACATAGAACTCCAGTAAGGCAGAGTATGTCCTTTTATAGCCAGACATTCAAACTGCTTCATTCATTCTAAATTGACAGTATAAGCTTACATGCTCTCAAACAGGACAGAGGTAGCAGCTCATTCATTTGTTTACAGTATTAGCTGTAGCTATAGAGTAAATTCAGTTATGTGTGTAAGTACAGTGGGAAAACACATATAAAAAAATAAAGACTGTCATAACTGCTTCAGTTTCACTATGGTTATTCTGAGCATTACAGGAACAAATTTACACTTACCTTGGTGAAGAACTTTCATGTCATTACTGGATTCTTTTAAAACCACATGTAATGTTGGGTACTCAATGATTACTTTGTTCCTCAAATTGTCACGGAGACTTTTCTGAGGATCCAGTTCATAATATCTTATAATAAAACAAACAAACAAAAATCACTTATTAAAAATTAGTCATAAATATGAGTCCCATAGATTAAAAAAATTTTTAATTGTGACATTAATTCAGTAGTCATATCCTTATAATGTAGTAAGTTTAATACCTCTAAGTAAAAACACAGGTAAAAGAGCTACTATTATAGAGGTTCTAAGCTAAATCAAAAGTATATACAATAATTTGGCATTAGGAAAGCTCTAGAGTAAGTCATTCATTTTCACATCATGTAAGGAATAAAGACTAACTTTTACATAATATCTATGTTTAAAGTATCATAAAATTTTCTTGGATAAAACAATGACTACCTAAATTCAAATTCCTCAAATACACTTAGTTTAAGCCTTAAAAGAAAAACACTATTTCATGATAAATAACTTCTAGTAACGTATGGCAGCAAAATAACTGGCTACAAAATCCTTTTGTAAAAAGTTCATTCTAACCATAGTTTCCAGAAATTTATATTGACATACAAGTATATTTGGCCTTCCTCTATTTTGAAATTTAAAAAAACAACACAATAGGTTTGGGTTTCTGAATGAGGCAAAAGCACAAAATTTAAGAAATATGGAGTTTATAAGTCATGATTTCATGACATAATTGTCACGTGTCACAGGTAATTACATGCTTATATTCCTTAAGGTATGAAATGCTCAAGTCATTACTTAAAAAAAAAAATGAGTTCATTAAAGATGTATTCCCCTAACATTCTTCTTTGTCTGCTTTCTGAACTAGGAGCAAGGGGTAGAATTTCAGCTAGCTCACTAGGAGGTGCATATGGGAATGTGTTGGCATGTGAATGTCATGTTATATCAAAGAGGAAGAAGTAGAGAACGTGTCCAGCGGTGCAGCACAAGTACTCCAACTTTTCTTCTCCATGTCCACCAATGACAGATGGCATTCACACGCACAACACTCATCCCAAGCGATACCCAGCCTGACAGCTGCAACTCCATCCTTCTCTCTCCCGCCCAAAAAAGCACACTGGAATAAATGTGACCAAGAGCGAGGTTATCGCGGGAGTACGCTTGAATCTGCTGTAATTTTGTTTTATGAGCAAATCATTCACAAACTTTGGTATTTCTTAATTAGTAACCAGGTATTTGCTCCATACCTCACAGTTGAGAGACATGCAGCACATTTCCTAAGAACTCCTGATGCAGGGACTTGTGTCCTAAGTATTTCCCACATAAGAGTTGTCAAATGAGGGAGAACAGAAGTGCTTAACAAAATGCAAAGTCAAGCAAAATGCAAAGCCCACTGTAGAACTGATTTCTTATTTTAAGAAGTAGGTGACAAGTAAGAGAACAACTGTAAAACCAAGACTTTACTGATGTTTGCCTGACCACACATGCCACCCCTGGAATGAAATTCTTCATTTTAGAATCACAGAATATTTTTTATGTTGAAAAGAAGCTAGAAATGCAAGATACTCAGTTTTTCTAAACCAGCCCCCCTAGCGACCATAGGCCACAGGACGTATACATTCTTTCCTGGGTGTAGTGTAACACAGATGTGCTTACAATCCTTTAAAAGTGGTTCCAGCATTCAAGGATTAAATGCTTCACATCTTTTAAACATTATTTCCCTTTGAAATAAGCAGCGTTGTTTTTAACGTTAGCAGTAATTATTACAAAAGAGAAACATGAGATTGAATAGGATATCAAAGTATAAGATTAACTTACCAAGTAAAATATAAACTGGATATAACTAAATTTTTCTTAGGAGAAAACAAGACTTAAATTCTCAAACAGGAACTTTTCAAATGGTATACTATAAACACTTGCAGTAACTTAGCTTCTGTGCATTTAGACTGAATTATAAGGCTTCTACTAAGAGAAATTTCCCAAATAAAGGAGTGTTTTCTACTTATTTTAGTTGCTGATAGTTTTCAGTGTATACTTAATAATGTTTTAGGTATTTTGTTTCTTTTTATAATATTAAATCTTAATTAGGTTTCTCTAGATTTCCAAAGTTGGAGCAATTAAAAAAAAATTCTTCAAAAGTCACATGGTAAACCAAAGCCTAATATTACTGCTGATACGGTATAAAATATATTCTCAGCACAGGAACATTTAGAGATACTTAAAAATTACTATGTAATAAGTTACATATTATTTCAATCTTAAAACTATAATGATTACACTTGCTAAATTAAAAAAACATTTGGTCCCTATTTCATGTGCCAAGCAGACACTGTACAAAGCTCTGAGGATGCAAATATTTATAAGAATTTATAATGATTTTTAAAACATTTTATTCAAATGCAGTGAAAACCTGGTATGTTGTGTGGTTTTGATTAGAACCAGTGAATTTTATTTAGTGTTTATCCTAAAATGTTGCAAACTTCTAATCAAGGCAATATTGCTATATTGAGTGTCAGTAAGCTTCTAGGCCTTAGCTTTCTGTTAATTAAAGAAGTCAGACTTCACTAGGAATTTTTTAGCTAAAATTCTGAGTTTCTTTAATTTTTCTACTACTAGTGGTTACTCTTAGTCTACTACTAAAATTGGCCAATGATTAAAAAGTAAACTATGTAAATTGTTTATAAAGGAAGGCTATCAAACAAATACGGGGGTAATAACATTTTGTGGACTTGGAATTTAATTAAATGGAGCAGTAACTTTTAGTGATTGCTTGGGTTTTGAGTCCAGCTCTCTGAGTTCAAGTCCTGACTCCATCACTTACTGGTCTATGATTCTGGACAAGCTACTTAACTTCTCTAATCCCTAGTTTCCATGCTTGAAAGTGGAGATAATGACAGTATCGCTTCAAAGTTATTGTGAAGGCTAAATGATAAAACATAGAAACTATTTGCTCATTTACTTAAGCCATGAACACTGTTTTACATTTGTATTTACCTAAAGTAACAGCACATTCTTATAGAAACTTGAGCTCAGGACAAAGTCATTGAACTTCTTCTAACAAACAATGGCATTTATTATGTGAGCACTGAAACACAGATTTGCCTCTTTATGCATTTTGCATTTAAACATAGCCTTGTGACTCTCTGCACAACCTTTAAACCATTATTTGATATCATATTTACTTCCAAGAGGCTAACAGTACTTTGAATGTCTCTGTTCCCATTATTTTGAGGCAAGTTGTACAGTCCAGCCTGGCACTGCCTAAAACAACAGTTAGGCTTTAGCTCTTTTGCAAGCCATTAAGTCACAGAATCCTAAGAGATTCTGCTGTATCTCACAAACTCTGGTGTTCCCATTAGTAGAATGGCTCTGCTGTCCTAAGACAAACTACTTAGGTTTGGAAGAATTAAGACACCAACATTTGTCATTTCTTTTACCCTTCGGGACCCTCTCAGACATTTCCTCTTGTTATTTCACTTGCTTACCCTCACAAGCTTGTGAGCTGACCCTGCTCCAGGCAGCTCACAGGGGCATTAGAAGGGCAGCATGGCTCAGCAGGCGAAACAGGTGTTACGGTGACTGACACTATATAAATAAAAGCTGTCTCCACACTCAAGGGTATGCTTTTAATCTTGGCTCTGTTACTAACTTTCAAAGAAACTGGCCACGTTCTTGAACTTCTTTCTCTGCACTTTAGTAGCAAATTAGGATTTAAAAAAAAATTTCTCATAACTCAAAAGAAGACAGAATTTTAAAAAAAGTCACAAGCCACTTTATGTTCCATCTGATCACTGACACCTCTTAAAGATCATCTCCCCCTACCATCCCCTAAAAAATATTGAAACCAAATTTGAATATTCTCCAAATGTAACAATATCATAGCAGTTCCTAGGTTACAGAATTTTTCTACCATAAAATAAGGTTACTGGATGAGGTGACCACTAAGATCCCTCCAGCTCTAAAAGTCTTTAAGTTTTGATATCTACCTGCCAAAGGTAGCACTTAACTACATTCTGGATTAAAAGTGAAGCTAACTGATTCCAAATGTACAAAGTTAAATCTCTGACTCTTTTAAAAAAATGAAAATAAATCAGTTTAAAGTTATCTGATAGCTAAAGGTTTTTAAAGTATGCATCTTCCTGGCATAACTGAATTCAGTAAGGTTCCTGAACCAACTATAAACTAAATGTTTTAGATTCACACTTATAAAATTCCTTTAAAATAACACCATCTTAAAAATACCAAACTGCCAACAGGTGGCAGGTTGGCTCAGCTAAAAAAAAACAAACAAACAAAAAAACAAACTAATTTTAAGAGTAGAAAGAGAATGGATTAAGAGAACAAATTAGCTTTCAAAATCCAAATGAAATGGGAGAAACCAGATGTTAATGAAGACCCAGAATAGGAAAAAAGAAAGTACATAAACTCAAACTAAAATATATAAAACCAAACTAAGTACAGGGGTCAGTTTTAACTCTTCTGTTTAAAAGAAAAAGGTACTATTTAGAATTTCTCCAAATAATACTCCTATGTTGACAATTTTTGCAACTCATACTGCATAAGTCACACGAGAAACAGATCTTGTAAAAGTTAAAGTTTTTTATCTAATCTTTCTGATTCCATATTTAAAAAAATACAGTAATTAGTGATCTGCTGCACTTTGTTTTGGGACTTTAATGCATCCATGTAGATGAGGACTAAATGGGGCACCAGTCATGAGTGAGTGCAGACATATGCCTCCATTCAGAAAGCTGAGCAGTTCAGAATTGTACTGGTGAATGATGCTAGTCTATCCATGATATGAAAGCTTTGTGATGTGGTAAAATAAATTGACCAATTATACATTTTAAAACATGCCTTAAAGAGGGCCTTAGGAAGGCTCTTATTTGTTCTAGATGCTATTTGTTCTTTTCTTATTCTCACTGATAAGCTCAATTAGCTTAAAATCCAGAAGGCTTGAGTTCCAATCTCATCACTGGTCCCTAAGAGCTGTGACTCCTCAACCGTATTCAGTTTTCCTTATCAGTATAATGATGGAAGAAAACTGGTAAAGGTTAAATGTAGTAAGGTGAAAATGTTTCTAAAGTGTAACTTGCCAAACTAGTATCA